TTGATATCACAGGCAAGAGCAAAGGTCTTCGTTGATGCCAGCCTTGCTCTGCCCCCGACACCCCCTGCTGCAGAAAAAGGTTTGGTGGCAGGACACACACGCCCCTCAAAGAGGGGCGAGAACCACTTTTTCGGCGGGGGGGGGGGGAACACGCGCCCCAAAACCGGGCGAAGACCCCCAACAGAAAACAAACAGAGCAGGAAAACAAAGGAAACAGAAAGGCCCCACGTTGGGTCTCCGCAGGCAAAACCCGACCAAGAAACATGAAAAACAGGGGAACCCAAGTTTAGGGTCACCGCCGAGGGCAAAGAACCCCAAACAGCCTAGAAACCCTCCTAAACCTGGTGGAAGAAGAGCACCGCGAAGTTGAAGAACGACACCACGAACACGCCATCCCTAAACGGGCGAAGAGGAACAACAGGAAGTAGTTGGAAAAGAGGGAGGAGAAAAGAGGGAAAGACGATGCTATTTAGGGCGCCGCAGCCCGCCCAGAGAGAGCGCGAGAAAGAGAGAACAAGAAGAGAAAAAAGGGGGGGCCGATGCGTATTTAGGGCGCCGCAGCCCGCCCGGGGGAAGGGGAAAGTGAAGAAAGGGAAAGAGAAGAAGAAGAAGGAGAGAAAAGAAGACAAAGGGAGCGAGATGCGTATTTAGGGCGCGGGGAGAGGAGAAAGGAGAAACAAGAAAAGCAAAGAAAAGAAGCAGAAGACAAGGAGACAAAAGGAGAAAAGAAGGAAGAAGGAAGAAGGAAGAGGAAGAGGGATGTAGTATGCGCTTTTAGGGCGACGCATCCCGCCCAGACAGGAACAGAGGATGAAGACCAAGGCTCGAGGAGGAAGACGTCGAATCCCACACGGGGGCCAAGAGGACGGACGCGAAATAGCAACGGAAGGGGAAGAAGACGTCAAGCCAAACTACGTGAGGAAGACGAGGAGTAGGAACAGGCAGACAGAAGACGAAGACGAGGAAAAAGGTGAACAACGCGAGGACAACCAGGCCATCCCTAAGCGGGCGAAGAGGAGGAGGACGAACGCGCGGGTCACGAAAGGCGGCAAGAAGAGAACGGGAGGAAGGAGAAGCCATTCGGCGAAGAACCAGAAGATGGGCACGCGGAAAACGAAGGCGAGAAGAAAGAAAGGTGAGTCTTAGCTATGATCTGACGGCTGTCTTCCCTCTAGTGAATCATCGTTCCTGCTTAAATCGTGAAATTCCGCTGAGCTGTGATAAAAACGTTGAGGTCAAATTTTCCGGCGAACCGGCCCGGGATCACACGATGGGTACACCCGAGGTTCCCCCAAGCGGTAGTCACACTTCAACTCCCAAGGGAGGGCGCTAATCATTCGAGTACAACTGATGAGTCTCGAGTACAACTGATGAGTCTCGAGTACAACTGATAAGTCTCGAGTACGATGAGTCTCGGCTCGCAAGACGCTTGGCTTTCCGGTAGAATCGAAAACGCTACAGAAGCAACAAGAAGCACTTACAGCGAGAGAAACAGCGGGCCAAAAGGACTTTAAATCACTGATGCAGGTACGTCAATCTCGCGTCCGAGATTGATATCACAGGCAAGAGCAAAGGTCTTCGTTGATGCCAGCCTTGCTCTGCCCCTGGCACCCCCTGCTGCAGAAAAAGGTTTGGTGGCAGGGTATTCTGCCACTCCGCACACACACACACACAGTTTTTCATGAATCATGGCTTATTTGTTTGTTTGCTTGTTGTTGTTGTTGTTGTTTTCCGCGGGAAGTAAGCTGAGATGCGTTCGACTTTGCCTTCTTTAGTCGCTAGCTGTGTTGCTCCTTGTTCTTTAGTTGGTACCTTTTTGAAGGGGGGCTTCAAGGCAGACCAGAAAAGAAACCACCCATTCTCTGAGTTTCCCACTTAGGACTTGAGGACTGCCAAAGCGAAAATGCCTTTTGCTACCCTTCGGAGAAAGATCCCACGGCCTCGAGATTGGGACTTCGGACCAATCGGAGGGTGCGAAAGGCTCAAATGGCCGCGGCTCAGAACACAAGGTGCAACCGGCGAAGAGCAGCTTTTTCCAAGGCCACAGGGAAACTTTCGGGGGAGAACTACAACACATCTGGGATTTGTGTCAAACCATTTCACAGAAACGGCGGTCCCAATGGAGCCACAATCAAAACCCTGCTAGATGAAGCTTAGTAAGGTGCAATCCAAAAAAAGGGCGCGGCTGCCTTCTTGATTCTTTACACGGCTCCGGGATTACGACCATTTGAATCCTGGCTTTTGACTATTCAAATGGACTCTTGAATTTTGAGCACCCAGACATGCACCTGGCGCCGCGCGTTTGCCTGAGGGAAACGCCTTTTCAGGTTGGTTGAAAAGGAAACCGCCAGCACAGCCCACTTTTGGGCGCGATTTTGACTCAACTGCGCAGGACCTCAGGCCTTTTCACTTTTGGGCACGAGCAATTTTGACTCAACTGCGCGGGACCGGCTTGAGGTCCGTCCTCCCCGCCTTGCCGACGCTCCTCGTGACCTCTGGCAAGCAAAGCAAGAGGCCCAGCACATGCCTCGAGGCTCAGCACGGTGTCACGAATGGGAGCGTTCCCTTGGGTCGTCCCTTAACCCAGCCTGAAAGAGGTACCCACACAAAAAAAAAAAAAACGAGTCTAGACAAGGTTGACAAATTCCCACAACTTGATCCATCTCCAAAAAAATATCGCTGAATGCATGAACGGGACTTGGAAATCATCCATCCATCCATCCATCCATCCATCCCTCCCATCTAGGGGTTGATCAATATTCCCACCTTTTGCCGGACAAAGCACTGGATACCCACAAGCAAGGAAGCGCCACCCAGGTCGTAGGCGGCTGCAGACGGAAGCGCCGCGAATCCAAACTGCCCAAGCCTCCCTAGCGGACTTCACTGCAGATTCAAGCAAAAGCCATTTGCCGGTAGCCAGTGAATTTACTCTAACCGGAAACGGTTGACAAAAACTGAGTCTCAACAGCTGAGTGCATCCTTCCCAGCAAACGCTTGCCACTTGCGCACCTGGTAGGCAATCTCTCTTGATTCCTTCCAAGTAGAAGTGGTTGCTTTCCTGCATTCAGGAATTGGTGAGCGTGTCAGTTCTGCGCTTTCCACGTGGGGCATCTTGCCTTCAGCCATGATGCCGCCTTCGCACGGCACCCCAGCACAAATAGCGCCACCAACCTCAGCAAGGTTTCCAGGAGAGATGCTAAAAACTGGACATCAGGTCGGTCACACAGGGTTTGTGTCATCAGCACAAAAGCCCAGTGCCGTGGTCGAATGGCAACGTGCAAGAGCAACAAATAGACCGAATCCAAGCGAGCTGCCCGCTCAGGCAAATCAGTTGCGACAGCTGGCCGGCAAGGCTGGGTGGCTCATCGCTGCCGCCATCCATCTGAAGACACGGGGGAAAAGTGGGTTGTTTCTTGTTGCTTCCCTCATTGAAACAACCCATGACTTGTTTCGCTGCATGGGAACAAGTGGTTCGAATGCTCTGGTGGGAAAGCCTAAGCTATTTTGGACCCCAACAACGTCTCGTTTTGGAAGTTTGGCACGCCAATCCAAGACAAATCCACTACTTTCAGAGGGCATCCAGGATGGGAATGGTTCCCGGGTGGATGGTGCTGTATTTGCAAATGGCTGCTGTGTTACGCCGCAAGGCACAAACCACTCAGAAATCTCAATGCAGCAAGTGAGTCACAATTTGGGGTTTCCACCTCAACGTAGGCGTCCTCTTGGATTCAGAACACACCCAATCTTCAGTGAATCAATTCCTTGAATTTCGTTCATGTGCCCCAGGGGGTCCAATACTTGCTTGCCACATGCACCACCAGGCGATGAGGTTTATTGATCTGTCATGACCATCTCCTGCTAAAACCAAATGAGAGAATAAACACTGGGTTTCAAAACATCCTCCGCATTGGCAAGACCAGCGCCCCACTAACAATAGCAAAAGGACCAACAAGTCCTAGCGTTCTTGGTGCATGTTGTTTTTGCACAGGTTCTTGCTGCAGTGTTCTTGGCAGGTGCTTTGGTTGACCCTTGTGCTATTTTAGTGGAGATACATGAGGAGCACCCATATGAAATATGTTTGCTTGGACTAAAGTTGTTTCTCAGCGCAAACATCCTGGACATGGATGGCAAGTTGGCGGTTCCCAGCACCTCTAGTCTGGGGCATCCATTTTCTGGTGGGTCCCGTGTTAGACAAAGGGATAAAAAAGATGGGTAGGGTATCAAGAAAAGTTGTTTAACAATCAAAAGCATTTTTTTCAGCAACCGAAAAACATTTTTTGGCCATCAAAAACAAACTTTCACGCGGGGCCAGGTGAAAAGGGTGTTTCGCAAGCCAGATTGGACGAAATGAACCAAGGGCCAAAAGACTGAAGGAGGACCCACGTGAAAAGGGTGTTTCGCAAGCCAGATTGGACGAAATGAACCAAGGGCCAAAACACTGAAGGAGGACCCAAAAAAAACCGAAGAGGGTAAAAAGATCAGGAAAAAGAACCGGGGAAGGTTAAAGGTTGCCGTGATGACTTAACTAGGGGTGCGAAAGTGATGACTTAACTAGGGGTGCGTGCTAATCTGAGCAAATTGTCAAACAGAAGCGGGGGGGTTGAGGGGGGGCGGCAGCCCCCCCATGATGTTGAAGAAGCGCATACGTGGAGACATACATACATACATTACATTACATTACATTGCATTACATGACGTTACATTACATTACCCTACCTTACATTACATTACATACATTAGATAGAGAGATAGATACATGCGTACATACATACATACATTACATTCATACATACATAAATACATACAGTTAAGGCATGTTGCACTGCTCCTAGCTTGAACCCAAACATGAAACCTCAAAAGAACAAAGCTCATCCGAAGCGGCCGCAGTTCTTTTTACCGGGATTGCTGAAAGTAGCACTGCTTCCAGGGCACTGGTGCGCCTGGAACAGGAGGTGCGTTGACCCCCCCTTCAGTGTTTCAGGCAACCCCGGTATAAGCGAGCCCGCTGGGCCGCCGGCCTCATCACCCGCCCTTCAGAGTGGGGTTGTACCTGGCAGGGCAAATGCTAGCGTGACCATGCACGCTGGGCTGTGAGCAGCCTGTTACGCTGTGTCTGCACTTTTTTCGGTCAGAGCGGCTTGAGTAAGCGGCTGGCTGACGTTGCCAGTTGTTCTGGCTGACAGGGCGACGACGGCCATTCGGTCGCAAGGCATGTCGGGATGCAAATCAGGCTGGTGAAGCAGTGACGGAGGCTGCTGCCAAATGCTCCGGGCGCCAGGGCGCATGCATCGGACACAGTTGAATGCCTCGGCCTGACATCGCTAGGCTTGCAGGGCTGAAGCGTACGCGACTTTCTGGGCGATGGCTGAATCGGGCCAACCGACCTCTGCTGAGATCGTCAGCCCAATCATTGCACCTTCCTGGAACGTGCGTCGGCTGCAGCAGCACATTGTGAGCGTGAGCCCAGAAGGCTGTTAATTGCACGAAGAGTTGCAACGGCCAGGAGGTCGTGAACAACTTGTTAAGGCTTGCTTCCGTGGCGGAATTGTCTGTGCCTGAAGGCATGCTAAACGAGTAGCGCCCACCACCAATGTGGCTGTGGGTTGCTTGCAGTAGTGCTAACTGTGCCAGCGTCTCGAAGCATGCGATGTACCGCTGTCCAGGCTTGACAAGGCAAGGCCACACGGCTCTTATGTCTTGCATGTTCCAGGTCTCGGCAAACCAAACTACTTGGGAGGACGTGATTGCCCAGCCCCCGATCCCTACCAAATCGTCTTCGGCACACGCATCCGCGGCAGCCAGAGCTTGCAGCTGGTGTGGCCGCGCCAAAGGCTGAACAGGCGAGTGCCGAAAGCACGACGCCAGCCAAGTAAGGCATTGTTGGCTTGACTTGGAAAGGCTAGTGTATGGGTTGTTGGGGTCCGCGATGCGCACCCATGTGGGCTTGCTAGTGCCAGGCACTTGCGGGATGTCTTGAGGGCAGTGCATGGTGCGGCCTGAAATTTCCAAGATTTTGGAGCCCACTGTGATCCACAAGCCCGGGAGGCTATGGCTAGTTTTGAGATCCTTGTTCAAGGATGCTCTAAAGGCTGACCACATTTGAGGCGGTATCGAGTGCATCGAGCCTGGTGGGCTGTTGAGGTCCGAGTGCAGTGGCGCTAGCCAGGATCTGAGATGTAGGGCAATGCTGGTGGCCCAGATGAGCAGGCCTATGCACTGCTCGAGTGTTTTGCGGGGTACCCGTCGGTTTCCCAGCAGTGATTTGATCAAGGCGTCCAGCTTGGTTAGCCTAGCGGACACGAGCTGAATGGTGTCGTGGGAGAAGTTGATCTCCCAACCGCACCAAACAAGGCTGTCCTGGAATTGCGCCTTTTTCCATGATATGGGCGCTGCAACGGCGCAAAAGAAGAGCACCACCAAGGCAAACATGTCTGGCGCGCTATTCTGGAAGAGTGCACACAGAAGGTCGTCCACAAAAAGGAAGGCTTTGTGGGGCTTCCAGGCCAGCAACCCATGCACCTGACGAAGCAAGAATGCGCCGGTGCGCTGCCACCAGAAAGCCGAGAAACGGCCCCCAAAATGGCGCACTCTGTAATGGTAGAGCTTTCCTTGAAAGGCGAAGAGTAGAAGGCCATGCTCTTCAGGGCGGACTTGCACCTGTTTGTGCGCGGCTTTAAAGTCAATGCTGGCGCCTATGAAGGCGCCTGGAGTGTCTTCTGGCTGCGTGGACAGCGCCAGGTCCGATGCCATTGGCAAGCTCAGGCGCTCTGGCAGATGGCATCTGGTATTCACTTGGCACACGGTGCTGTCCAAGACAAGGCGCGGCTCTTTCCTTTCTGCAAAAACGACATTTAACTTGCCTACGGCAATGCCTAAGGGCCATTTTTCCCGAGCGTCGGCTATGCTAAGGCTGGTTTCAACAATCCAGTTGTTGGCAATTTCCTTGCGCAGCAAGCCTTGCACGGTTTCTGGCTCGTCTTCGGCCATCTTCCAGTTGCCCTCACAAATTTCCAGATCCGGCGGCGGCGCGGAGTCTGGCTTTTTTGCCGGCCATTGAAGGCTGGGTGGCAAGGCTGACACGGCTCCTGTCGGTACTCCGTGTTGCAAAAATGGCAGGAGGGCCATGTCTGGGTCACCCCAAGATTTGGCCAGGGCCTGCAGCAGATGGAGTCGGTATGGCTGTCCTGCCTCGGGGCTCATGTCTGAAGGGCAGGGCAATTTTAGAGCGGTGTGTGCTAGAGTTGCCACTTCCAAGCTTTCAGACGGCAAGAGGGGGCAGTCCGGAGAACCGCTTTGGATGTGTGCCAGGATTCGTGGCACCAGTTTGCGCTCATGCATCCAATGCAGCCAGGGCCTGGCGACTGCTTGCAGCGGGTGTCACCAATCTGCGGAGGAGTGCATTCCTGCTCCGTCGCAGGTGGGGAGCCTGCAAGGCGCCAGTGTGATGGGTCTGGAGAAATTGGAGTGCAATGGCAGTGCTTGTCGGAAGGAGCCTGTTTTACTGACCCTTCCTATGCCTACCTGGGCCAGTTGCAGGGCCAGGGAAGGAGGGTATTCAGCGGTCAGGGTGCTGAGGTTATACCCCTTGTTCTTTCATGCCTGCAATGCTTTGATGCTTGTATGAGTGATTGCAGCGAGCCTCCAGGGCTTGTATTTTCGAACTGTTGCAGCCGAACGCCCATGACTTGGAGAAGGCTTTGTTGTGCATGCAGGCGTCTACCCACACCAGGGCACACTGGTGATCGCGTAGCATTTGGAAGTTGGCCTCTTCCAGCCAGGACATGGCTGATGGCGGCTGTTCCCAAACGCCAACGCCTCCTTTGGAGACCACTGCTCTGAACAGGGCTCTACCACGGTCGTGGATGGTCTTGCTATCCAGCAGTTTTTTACGCTGCGCAGGCGAAAGGCCGGGGGCCCCGTCCATGTACTGCGGCGTTCTCAAGGCTTTGGGCCCGCCCGGGCGCAGTTTGAGTCTGGAGTATTCTTTGCACGGGGCAAGCATGATCAGGGCCACGATTCCTGACCAGCAGAGTCTGAGAAGGGCCTCGAAGACTTCGTCCAGGATGTCGTGCGCAGTGTCTCCATCTAGGTCAAACGGCTCGAAGCAGTCAAGGCCAAGGCTAATGGCGGCCGACGTCACTGGCCGCAGCCTGCCTGCTGCCGCGTCCAAAAAGAGCCGCTTTGAGGCTGGGTGCAACGGTGAGTCCGATAAGCTTGCCTGGGCGGGCGTGTGTGGCCTTGGCCCAGCGCTTGGCTCGCTACGGTGCGCAGAAGGCAAGGCTGGAGTCAGGGCAGTTTCCCCTGGCACATGCAATGGCGAAGACGGCGCAGGAGGCCCGCCGTGGGGCAAGGCCGGCGGAGGCATGGCTGCCCGATCCTGCGCCGGTCCAAGATCCGGGCTGTT